TAATATAAATAAATATTATAATATATTCAAAATATAAAATATTAATAATATAATTTATTTTAATATAATTTAATTTATTTTAATTAAATATAATATAATTTAATGTAATATAATATAATATAATATAAAGTAAAATAATATAATACAATATAAAAAATAATATAATATAATTTATTAATAATATAACATATTAATAATATAATAAGATAAAAACTAATATAATATAACAATTATAATATAATATAATATATTCATAATATAACATTACTAATATAATATAATGTAATATAATATATTTATAATATAATATAATATACTATAATATAATATAATATAATACAATATTTTCATAACATAACATTAATAATATAATATAATATATTCATAATATAATATAACATTCTATACTATAAACTAATCTAATCTAATCTAATCTAATCTAATCTAATATAATATAATATAATATAATATAATATAATATAATATAATATAATATAATATAATAAATATCTCTGTGTGTTTGAGACCTTGGCTTTCTCGAAGTCCAGGTCTTTGCCGATGGTGGCCAGCAGTCTGCACAGACACTCTAAACTCTCCTCGTCGTGGTTCTTCAGCAGTTTGACGATGCAGTCATGCATGATGTTCTCCGTCAGCATCTTCAGCTTAAACAGCTCGCCGATGAACTTGATGTTCCCTAGCGACCGTCGCCGGGCTTTGTCTTTGGCATCCTCAAGCTCCTCCTTTAGTCTCTGCCGCTCTTCCTCCTAAAAGGGCGGAGACAGAAAGAGAGGTTACGCATATCGTTACAGACACTGATGATATTCAATCATTTTCCTTCAGCTTAGTCACTTTATTAATCTGGGGTCAATTAATAAAACTTATATTAACTTAGTTTGACAAATACCAAAATTTTTTTTATTTTTAAATTAAGTAGCTGTGGTAATAATAATAATAATAAAAACAACAACAACAACAACAATATAAAATAATAATAATAATAATAGTATAATAATAATAATAATATCTAATAATAATAATAATAATAGTAATAATAATAATAATAATAATCATCATCATCATCATAATAGTAATAATATTATTATTATTAAAATCATGCATTTAAATTTTAAAGAGATTTTAAGAGAAAATGCAACTAATAAAACATACAGAAATAAAATATAAACAATACAAATGTAAACTGTTTAAACATGTTTTTATTATTAACAATAATAATAATAATATTAATAACATTATTATGATAAAAATCATGCATTTAAGTTTTAAAGACATTTTTAGGGAACACGCAACTAATAAAACAAAGTAATAAAATTTAATACAATTTAAATACTAACTGTTAACACAACTTGTTTTTATTATTATTATTATTATTATTAATAATAATAATAATAATAACAGAAAAAAATATTAACAATACAAATATAAAAAAGGTTAAACTATTTTAAAAAGGTTAAAATATTTAATTTTTTTTAACAACAACAATAGTATTAATAATAAATGCATGCATTGAATTTATATGAAAGTTTCCAGTGTTTCCTGCATATTACATATTGAAATAAACAAAAATAGGAGGTTAGGAGATTTTCAGATGACAATGAATAAAAAAATATAGTAATAAAATATAAACAATACAAAGGCAAAATGTTCAAACTTCATTTTATTTAGTTTTTATTAAATAACAGTAGTAGTAGTAATAATAATAACAACATTATTATAATTAAAATCATGCCTTTAACTTTTAAAGATTTTCAAAAAACATGAAACTAATAAAAACAAGGTAATAAAATATAAACAATACAAATGCAACAAATAGGTAACACTATTTTTTTTATTTGATTAAATAACAACAATATTAAAATCCTGCATTTAAGTTATATGAAAGTGTGTTTCCTGCTTAAATTTTAAAATAATAAAAATTTGAGTTTTAAAGAGATTTTCAAAAGAAAATGAATTAAAATAATATAGTAATAAAATAAACATGTTATGTTGTGCATTTTTTAATCAAATAATAATAATAATAATAATAATAATAATAACAAATTCAGCAAACATAGCAAATCTGGAAGCTTTACAAAAAAAAAAAAAAAACAATTGGGAAAAACAAACATTGTGTCAGCACAGACAACCAGAAACTTTCAAATAAGACGTGAACATTTTAGTAATGATATATATTCTCCCCTACCACAGTGGCAGCGTCCAGCTCCTTCTGTTTCTTCTCGAAGGTCTCATCGTCATCTTTGTCTTTCTCGAACTCTTTCTGACAGCGATTCAGCAGAAGCTTCCTGAAGTTCACAAACACTCCCGGTTTATCAGCTGTGGGAACCTTCAGCTATGGAGAAACGCACATGTGTATACGCAAATTAAAGTGAGATTATGATGATTATACATATACACAAGTCTTGTTGCCTATCCAAGTATTAGGAACAGCACATAAGTTGACTTCTAGTTGATGATTTGGTGTCAGAAGTGTCTTATATGAAAGGTAAAGGCCTCTAGATTTTGCTTATTTGAGCACAATAAAATCTGATCATGTCTTGATTATTAATGATTTGATTAGGACAGTAAGGTCTGACTCTGCTTAGACTAAAGTCTCATCACTGAACAGAAATAATGTCCAGTATAGAATATAAAGTCCTGCTGCAGTGGAGACAGAATGAATATTGTGTCTGACTCCATCATGAGCTTGGAGGACTGCATCCATACATCTCTGCACTGACTCAAATCACTGATTAATAAAGTCATCTGGAATGGCAGAGAAAGCGTTCCTGCAGGACTCCCAGAGCTCATCAAGACTCTTTGTGTTCATCTTCAACGCCTCCATTTTCTTACCCCAAACATGCTCAATAATGTTCATGTTAGGTGACTGGGCTGGCCAATCCTGGAGCAGCTTGACCATCTCAGCTTTCAGGAGCTATGATGTGGAAGCTGAAGTATGAGGAGCGCTATCCTGCTGGAGAATTGTCCCTCTCCTGTGGTTTGTAATGTAATGGGCAGCACAAATGTCTTGATACCTCAGGCTGTTGATGTTGATCATCCACTCTGCAGATCTCTCGCACGCCCCCATACTGAATGCAACCCCAAACCATGATTTCTCCCTCACCAAACTTGACTGATTTCTGTGAGAATCTTGTCTCCATGCTGGTTCCAGCAGGTCTTCTACAGTATTTGTGATGATTGGGATGCAGATCAACAGATGATTCAGCAGAAAAATCCACCGTCTGACACTTTAACAAATGATCAACTAGACCAGGGATGTTTAAACTCGGTCCTGGAGGGCCGGTGCCCTGCTGAGTTTAACTCCAACTTGCTTTAAACCACCTGCCAGAATGTTGCTAGTATGTCTAGTAAGAGCTTGATTAGTTGGTTGAGGTGTGTTTGATTAAAGGTTTGAGCTAAACTCTCTAGGACACTGGCCCTCCAGGACCGAGTTTGGACACCCCTGAACTAGACGTATTATTGGTTGCCCTTACAGCTGGGATTGTGTATTCATTATAAGGTGACAAAAATCATTGATCCATTAAGAGGAAAGAGACAAACTGCAAGATTTGGATGTTTATATCAGTTTTACATCTTAGAAACGCCAATTTTGTCACTGTTTTGGAGCACACTGGCTTATAGACCTTCTTCATGGCTGCTGCATGGAGGGCGCCAAAGCGACCAGCGTCTTCCGGTAGAATGCTAAAAAACTTCCGTTTACAGCGTGTACAACTGGTAATTTGCGCTCCGAAAATGGGTTTCAATAACGTTTTTAATGGATAACAGAGTGTTTTTGTGACACACAACTTAGAAATGTGTCTGTTAAAGCCGTTATAATCTGTCACGTGTGGTTCAAGCGCGTCAGAAATACGAGAAAACGTTCTCCTAGTTCACGTGTCTGCCGTCAGAAATACAGTGTGTGCGTTACCGGCCTGTCAGCTGTTAGCTCAGCGGCTCTTTAACACACACACACACACACACACAGAGAGAGAGGGGGGGAGAGAGAGAGAGAGAGAGAGAGAAAGAGAGAGAGAGAGAGAGAGAGAGCAAACCAGAGCACTGCATGACACTTAACAGGTATGAAAGTCGTGCAATTTACAAAAATGAGCAATAAAAGTCTGTTATTGATCCTCTGCTGCTGATTTGCTGTTCATTCTAATCGCGAGCCGTTTGTGTTTAATTTCGTGTGTTGTTTTCACCACGGTTTGTGTTTTTCTGTCATTTCGAGATGACACTAGGCTATATTTTCACTTTGTCACAGTTATTAAATCAGTGTCAGAGGCACAGTACAGGCTACGTGTGTGTGTCAAACATTTTGGTGAACTACATTAGTTTGGGCTGGTTATATATTTGAAATAAAGAGAAAATGTTGACTTTAGCGATGACGAGGCTTCATTTAAACTGCAGAAGATGCCGTCTACAACGAGGGGAAAACGCCTCAAAGCAGCTGATTTCCATCCTATTAGATCACATTTCTGTAAATGATCAGTCCAGGAGATGCTGCTGATGGACAACAGGATTAGTTCAAAGAGGATAAAAGCAGGTAAAATAGATTAAAACTATCGTTTCAAAGCTGTCCAAATGTGACTGTTTACACGCATCAGCTGCCGACCGGAAGTTCTTCGCATTCTCCTTGCGCATACACGCAAAGCATCATGGGTAATTTTGCGTTCCAAGAAAAAGGTCTATAGATATCCTTAAAGACCAACACCTAAACATCTAAAATACTTGATTTTCTTTTCACAAGACCTTTAATATTAACATAATAAACAAATATACATCTAGAAAGCGTGTTTTGCTCACCCCCATGAGGCAGCGGCACATGTTGGCGTACGCGACGGAGAAGTTCGGCTCGGAGATGGCCTTCTCGAAGATGAGGTCGATGACTCCTTTCAGCCTCTCCTCGGTGTGTATGGAGAGCTCGGTGACCTGCTTCATCAGCGGCTGGAACATCTGCGGCGTCAGCTTGTTTAAGATGCTGCGCACGCGCTTGAACAGTTCCTGCGTCTGCAGCTCCGGCTGATCCTCATCTGTGCTGCGCTTCACTGACGGCTTCCAGGCCTGTTCTGCTTTATTGAGCTGCACGTCTTCAGTCAGAGACACGCTGGCGATGATCTTCCTGGGCTCTTTACCACGGTACTGCTGCTGCTGCTGCTGCTGATGCTGGAGACTCTGACCAGAGCGCCGCGGACCACCCAGACCTGACGGCTACACACAACACGCGCACACACACTCTTTTAAAATAAAACATCAAATATTTATGCAAAAAAGCGAGGACAGGAGCAGTTTAGGGTTAGTCATCAGTTAAATAATGGTTAAATAATGATGTTATGTTATACAGGTGATGTACATCTGGGTTAGTGAGTTAATTGTAACTTAAAAAATGCACCCGGGTTAGCGAGATCATCAGGGCTTCAAAGTTTCGCGCATACACCATGCACAGCGAAGGGGCGTGGCCAGAGGCGCAGTCATGTTAAAGCAGAGAAAGCTAAAATGGCGTCCAAACGCTGCTATTTCCACAGAGCTCCATCCTTTTCTGTCTTTGGGCTTCCAAAGGACACAAAGTGAGAAGTGATAATATACAGATAATATATATATAGCTAGCATTTGACAAAGGACAGCTTCCAGAATCTCTCCCAGTGATTCGGCTAAAAAGGAGGAGCAGCTCCAACCATAACAGATCAAGCTGTGAATTGTGAGCCACAACCTGTAATGGCTTGTTTACACTTACTGGTAGAGTATGATACGGGTCACCTTTGTCAGGCTTGCGTTTTCACTATCAAGGGTACCCTTTTGGTGGACGTGGTGTACGACAGAGTTTCAGTTGACGTTATTTTAGCTCGAGAAAATGTCTACAGTAAACCTGTGCGGGTCGCTCGCATATCATATGAGAAGCACTTATCACATACATATGCTTTACACACAGAAATACTTCTGTTTAAATGTTTATTACTAACTTTTCGATGAACATGAGTTGATTATAATGTTGTGTTCACACCAGACGCGGAACACGCGGATAAATCATGATATGAGTGTACTCATTCATACGCACCTCAAACCCCGCTTCATTCGTGCGTCAAATTCACTTTCAAATTCACAGCTTTGTTGCTAAATGCCTAACATGGATTTTATTTTGAAAATAACAGTGTTTATGTGCTTTATGAAGGCTAAAAAACAGCGTCGATACGTTTAGGGTCGTGTCTGAGTCCGCTAGATTTTTTCACAGGTGCATACAGCTCTGTGAGCTCATAAACTCCTCCAGAAACTGAACCTGGATGACGGAGGCTTTCAGCGGTGCTTCTGACTGAGCCGAGCTCAGATTGATGAACTTTTTGTTGGTGTCAGCTAGAGGACTTCCCTCGGGACACCTACAACAGGCGATCACAATCACACCCCCACAAGAGCAAGCTCCTGATTGGTTAACTTGGCGCGAATGTCTGCTGAAGTTCAGACTTTCAAACTCGAATGATTCACGTCAAACGCGCAAAAAGCTCAATTTGCGCCGCGCCATTCACGTCATTCGCGCCGCAGGATGTCTATTCGCGCATTTGCATTGACTTTACATGTAAATCACTCGCGCCTGATGCTTGTTCCGCGTCTGGTGTGACCGCAGCATAACTGCAGATCAATGACAGTGCGAAATAGCCTTCTGTAACGTCTGTAATTATATAATATAAATAAAAAAATGCTTTGATCTCTGATATGTTGCCAACTACAAAAGAACTACACACAGCTTACATTTAATTAGGTTTACATTCCTTAATTAGGTTTAAATAACAACAGGAAATATAGCCCACAGTCAGTGTAAACCTCTCATCTGTGTCTGTAATCTTCAGCAGCACATGTAGCCTCTCTGTTAGAGAGTCACTCCATCATTCTGAGTTCAAATTAGTCCAAAAGGTGACGATAAACGGTAAACAAGGCAGTTTGTTCACGTTTGCTGCAGAAACAATGTGCTCCTTGTTTTTCGGCTTCTCCTTTGTTTTTTCGCGCTTCACTCTCGCGATTGTCAGTTTCTGACTGGATCGGGTTTTAAAAAAACTTTAATAATCAAGCGCACGTTATTATCATCAGCTCAAGAACTTCGTTATTTCAGATATAGACGTAAGAAAGCGAAACCGCTCGCGCTTCAGACTGGCTCGTAAAAAACTACGGGACACAGGGTAAATCTGCTCTTCTTTTTGGCTTTCTGGCTGTTCATCAACACGACGACATTTGTTTGAGCTCGGGTCGACCATGGCTCGTTAATATATGCATATTTAATTACGCTGCTCTCGCGTGTGTATTTTAAACATGGCAGTTCCTTTGTTTCATTCTGGCTTGTTGCGTAACGTGTTATGAGCCAGAGGTCTGCATTCTTTGGCGCGGGAATACATTTCCGAATAAAAACGGGTTTAATTTGGGACGGGAGCGGGCCGTCTAGCAATATCGCTCCCGACTCCCGAGCGAGCAAGCGTAGGTGTGTGCGTGTATGTGCATGAGCGCACGCGCCTCGAATGAGAGAGGGAGAGATTTGTCTGTGTGTGTGTGTGTGTGCTTGGTAGAGGTGTGAACCTACACTAGTCTCACGTTTCGGTTACAATTATCATGCCTTCAATTCGGTTCAATTCGTTATCTCGGTGCATCACGGTGCATTGACGATGCTTTCCATATACAACGTTATATTTTAGGGGGGAGGCTATAACAAGCTGTCTGTATAAACACACAGACACACAGCACCACACTGTCTCTCATTCAGATGCATGCACAAACATAGACAGCACCTAACAAACAAACACACACACACACACACACACACACTTAAGCCCTCGCAACAGGGAGAGAAAGTGGGAAAAAAAAAAAAAAAAAAAAAGCACTTTTCCGATGGTCCCTTACTGAGGGCTCCTCTCAGCGCGAGCTCTCCCGGCTAAACACATATTGCGAGGGCTTAAAGGGAGCAGTGATCATAATGTCGAGCGAAAAAAAAGAAAGACAGCTGTGAAACATAACCAGCTTTGTCTTTTTGTAGGAAAGACACTTTAGATCTTTTTAGGGTAAGAGATTTTGAGTTATTGGCGTCTATAACTGAATGTGTGTCAGGAATATTGCAAACAAAACCAACTGAAGCGCGCTCATTTCTGGCGCCCCCTGGATATACAGCACCCTTAGCATTTGCCTAGGGTCCCTATGAAACGGGCCGGCCCTGAGTTGGGTGAGTGTTAAAAATACTCGCGCTCACCTCCCTTGCCATAGTAAGCTACGGCGACAGAGCGCATAGGAGATAAATGACGTCAGTACATAATAACCGGTTATGATTATTACTGAACCGATACCGAATTGTCCGCGTCTGCATTGCTGTGCACCGAAGAAACAATTAATTTTGACACCCCTAGTGCTTGGTGCTTATTTTTGTGTGTGTTTATACAGACAGCTTGTTATAGGCTGTCTGGACTCTGTATAGCTGGGTGGTTTTTGGTTTTGTTCCCCCCCCCCGCTCTTTAGCGGGATCGGGCGCGGCGGGTAGAAAACGGGGCGGGTCGGGCAGCGGGACAACAAATGCTGAATATAAGCTGGAGCAGTCGGGTTCAGGCTAGAAACTGGCAGGTGCGGGCGGGAGCGGGATTCAAAATTTAGTCCCGTGCAGATCTCTATTATGAGCTGTTAAACACAAGCGGCAACCTCCCTCTCTCCCTCAGGAAGCCAATACGGAAGTAACTAAAACTGCAATTCATCTGATATTCCGCTAGTCCTGGCCACTCCTGGCTCCAAAACAGAGCAAATTTTAATTGAGCCCACTGTTAGAATGGCCAACTTTACAGCAGAAAAAAAGGTGTTTACAGCCTGGTACAAAAAAAGATTTCGGTTAATACAGCTAATATTGCCCTTCATGACAACTGTGAGGGGGTGAATTTTTTATAACTCATCCGTTTCCTTTATATTAAGTTATATTAAGTTTGAATAATTAAGGGCGTGGCCACTTGAGTGACAGCTAGGTCTCGTTGGTCGCCTCAGCTGAATCCTGCAGATTAGCCGCTGAACTCTGCATATTCATCGTATTTCTGTGTTGTTTAATGTGGCTTTACACACTCAACTGCCTTTTGGACTTGTTTCCTACAATTATTAGATGGCATGGCATGCTGAGTGCACTTAATTGTGCTCACAAACCATTCACGTGGCCTCCGTTTCCCATGTGAGTAAAGTTAAATACTTGTATACCATCTCTATACATGTATGTGTTTTATTTAAGATCATTTATCATTTATATTTATATTTAGAGGTGTAATGCACTCCAGAATCTGACGGATTGATTAGCTGTGGGCTCTAGAACAGTCATCTGAAGCGTTGTCATACAGTGTTATGCTGGATTTCATCAATAGTCTTACATTTACTAACACAGACTATATCTGAAGTGTTTGGAAGTAATTCACGTGTAGTAAAACGTCATAAGAACAATGTTTAGTGGCTCAATGTGTTACAGCAGTGTTTTTAAAAGTATAAACACTTTATTGATGTAGTGTACAGCCAAGCACAAGTGGTCAGAACACAAACGAGTCGCAGGTGATAAAGTATTAAACGTTCTCCCAAAGTAAAGTGTGTCTGAGCCAGGTCCAAGCAAAACGCCAGCATGCGTCTGTAGCTCCGCCCACTCTCCGCCTCTTTGCCCTTGTTTGGTATCCCGCGGTGACTGCGATGACGAGCGAACAAAATGGCGACGGTTGGCCGCGCCTACTTGTGGCTTCTTTTGCGCTCTTCAGAAACCTATGGGTGACGTCACGGACACTACATCCATATGTTTTACAGTCTATGGTTAAACAGCATGTGTGTATATTTTTTCTGCAAATAACGTCACAAACTCTGACACATTGCAACGCATTAGCATCTTGTGTTTTATTGAAGACGTCACCAGCGACTAGTGGACGTCGACTTGACTTTAATATCATAAAAGTCACCTTTGAAAAAAAATTTCTAACGTCGCTTAACCCCTAGCGGCACGCACGCACACACGCACACACACACACAGCATAAAGCCTGATCACCTACCGGTCCTCGTCCTCCAGCTGACGGACGGCCCAGATTGGCAAACGACGGAGTGAAGTCTGGACCGCAGTTCATGCCCGGCAGACGACTAGGGTCCAGCTGACGCAGAGGAGTCTTATTGGCCTGCAGAAAGACAGAACACACACACACTGTTATACATCAGAAGATGGTTGTGTGTGTGTGTGTGTGTGCGCATGTATGTCTGTATGAGTGTGTGTATGTCTGTCTAAGTGAGTAAATGTCTATATCTGTGTGTGTGCATTTGTGAGTGTATACGTGTGTGTATGTTTGTGAGTGTGTGTATGTATGTGTGAGTGCAACCATATGTGTACGTAAATGTATGTTAATGTGTGCGCATGTATGTGTGTATGTACGTTTGTGTACACGTATGATTGTTTGAGTGTGTATGTCTGTGTGTGTGCATATGTCTGTATGTGTGTGTGTGTTTGTGTGCATGTGCTTGTCTGTCTGTGTGCGTTTTTTTGTGAGAGAGTGTGTCTGTATATATGTATGTGTGCACATGTCTATATATGTGTGTGATTACACTGTGTGTTTGCGTATGTTCATATTTGTGTGTGTGTGTGCGCATGTATGTCTGTATGAGTGTGTGTATGTCTGTCTAAGTGTGTGAATGTCTATATTGTGTGTATTTGTGTTTGCATTTGTGAGTGTGTACGTGTGTGTTTATATATGTGTGTGTGTGTGTGTGTGTGTGTATGTGTAAGCATATGTGTACGTGAATGTATGTTAATGTGTGTATGCGCATGTATGTCTGTCTAAGTGTGTGAATGTCTACATCTGTGTATGTGTGTACATTTTTGAGTGTGTACGTGTGTGTTTATATCTGTGTGTGTGTGTGTGTGTGTGTGAGTGTAAGCATATGTGTACGTGAATGTATGTTAATGTGTGTGTGCATGTAAGTCTGTATGAGTGTGTGTATGTCTGTCTAAATGTGTGAAGGTCTATGTGTGTGTGTGTGTGTGTGTGTACATTTGTGAGTGTGTACGTGTGTGTTTATATCTGTGTGTGCATGTATGTGTGAGTGTAAGTATATGTGTACGTGTATGCTAATGTGTGTGTGCATGTATGTCTGTATGAGTGTGTGTATGTCTATATCTCTGTGTGTGTGTGTATATTTGTGAGTATGTATGTGTGTGTTTATATCTGTGTGTGTGTGTGTATATATGTGTGAGTGTAAGCATATGTGTACGTAGTTGTATGTTAATGTGTGTGCGCATGTATGTGTGTATGTACGTTTGTGAGTACACTTACGGTTGAGTGTGTATGTCTGTTTGCGTGTGGGTGTGCATATGTCTGTATGTCTGTGTGTGTGTGTGTGTGAGTTTGTGTGAGAGAGTGTGTCTGTATATATGTATGTGTGCATGTGTATATGTGTGTGATTGCATATGTTTATATTTGTGTGTATGTGCGCATGTATGTCTGTATGAGTGTGTGTACGTCTGTGTGTAAGTCTGTCTAAGTGTTTGAACGTCTATATCTGTGTGTGTGCATTTGTGAGTGTGTGTCATTGTGAGTGTGCATGCATATGTCTAAGTGTGTGTATGTATGTGTGAGTGTATGCATATGTGTATGTATATGTAAATGAATATGTGAGCACGTATGTGTGTGCGTATGTTTGTGTATACACTTATGTTTGTTTGTTTGAGTGTGTGTGTCTGTGTGTTTGCGTATGTTTGAATGTCTGTGTGTATGTCTGCGTATGTCCGTGTGCCGTGTATGTGTATGTGTGTGTGTGTTCCGTCACCTTATCCAGCACTACATCAGTAATGTGCGGCAGACCCTCAGGTTTGCTCATGCTGGCGCTGATGAACTGGAAGCCCAGCAGAAACTCTCGGTCGTATTTCTTCTTCTCCTCCAGATTCAGAGGTTTCCATTGCTCTGTGCAAAACAACCAACACACGTTCAGCTCAGACAAGCTTTAATAACATATAGAAATCTATCTCAAGAGTTTGTTATTCCTCAGAGAATAAAACCAGCAAAAAATACCAAAGTTTAAAATGAGCAACATTTCAACATTTATCAATTTATTAGGAAGTTCATCAGACACAATTTTTTATTTTTCAATTTACTTTTTTGGGAAAGGTTTATTTTTAATACTTTCATCTTTCTCCTACTGATATATATATATATATATATATATATATATATATATATATATATATATGTGAGAGAGAGAAAAAAAAAAAAAATATATATATATAAAAAAAAAAAATAAAAAAAAAAAAAAGTGTGTGTGTGTGAGAGATATATATATATATATATATATATATGTGTGTTTTTTTATTTTTTTTTTTTTTTTGTTTGTTTTTTTGTGTGAGAGAGAAAAAAAAAGAGAGAGAGATATATATATATGTGTGTGTGAGGGGGGGGGGGAGAGAGAGAGAGAGAGAGAGAGAGAGAGAGAG